AGACCTAAAACCAATTTACGGCCCCATCTTTACACTCAAGATGGGGTCACGTACTTTGATTATAGTCAGCAGCGCCGAGTTAGCACACGAGGCGCTCATCGAAAAGGGTCAGGTGTTCGCCACCCGACCCGCTGAGACCCCTACTCGAGGGATCTTTAGTTGCAACAAGTTCACTGTCAATGCCGCAACTTACGGTCCGGTTTGGCGGTCCCTTAGGAAAAACATGGTTCAAAACGGTCTTAGCTCGTCTAGGCTAAAGGAGTTCAAAGGTGTGCGTAATGTTGCAATGGATAAGTTCATAGAAAGGATCAAAGCCGAGGCCGAGAAGGACCCAAACGGCGTCGTTTACGTACTGAAGAACGCTCGTTTCGCGGTGTTTACGATATTGTTGTCGATGTGTTTCGGAGTTCATATGAGTGAGGAAACTATCGATATAATTGATCACACACTAAAGGAGGTGTTGATTACGGTGAACCCGCGAATTGACGACTTTCTCCCTATTCTTAGCTTCTTTTTCTCCAAGCAACGTAAGGAAGCTTTGGAGGTTCGGAAGAAGCAAATCGAGACGCTTCGCCCGTTTATCGAACAGCGACGGGCCATTCTTCGGGCCGGGGTTGATTCAGATCCTACTGCGATGCCGTTCTCGTATCTCGACACGCTGTTTGAGGTCAAGGTTGAGGGTCGGAACTCGGGCCCGACTGAGCCCGAGATAGTGACCCTATGTTCGGAGTTTATCAACGGGGGGACTGATACTACCGCGACCGCAATCGAATGGGCCGTGGCCCGGATGATTGAGAACCCGACATTGCAAGAGAGGATGTATAATGAGATCCGATCCGTAGTGGGTACCCGGCCCGTTGAAGAGGGGGACCTCGATAAGATGCCTTACTTGCATGCCTTTGTGAAGGAGCTTTTACGAAAACACCCTCCGACTTACTTTTCACTAACTCACGCGGTCACTGAGCCCGCTACCCTGGGGGAATATCATATCCCCACAGGGTGCAATGTGGAATTATTTTTACCCGGGATATCGGAGGATCCGAAACTTTGGAAAAACCCGGAAAATTTTGACCCGGAGCGGTTTTTAACGGGTGGGGAGGATGCGGATATCACGGGGGTACGAGAAGTGAAAATGATACCATTTGGGGCGGGTAGACGTGTGTGCCCGGGTCTAAGTATGGCAACAATACATGTGAATTTATTGATTGCAAGGTTGGTCCAAGAATTTGAATGGAGGGCATTTCCGGAAAATAGTAAGGTTGACTTTACTGAGAAGCTTGAGTTTACTGTGATCATGAAGAATCCATTGAGAGCCAAGGTTATTCCTCGGGTTTGATTCATTAATAATCAATTTACTATTTTTATTTAGGTTTTAAACATATATTGTTTAGTTATTGTTTTTTTATTTTTATTTTTTTTACTTTGATTTACTTATTACGGTTCATTATATTTTCCTTTGGCATATATTAAAGGTGTTATTGTAATTTCAAACCAGCAGTTTACAAGAGAATTTTTTTGTTTATAGTGCAGATTTTGTTCATTGGTTTTTTTTTTTTTTTTTTTTTTTTTTTTTTAATTGATCTTTCAATTTAAGTTTGGAAACTGGTGTGATGTAGTGCTTGTGATGAAGATGTGTTTTATTCGATCTAGTCCTCTCGATGCTAATCTAAATGGTATAATGGCCGGTTGGAGGTCGATTTCTATTTATGATCGAATTGATTAGCCGAATTTGGAATTGATTGATGTGATTAGCATTTAAAAGCGTAAAATTAAGGTGGGCATGAAGCAGTTGCTAGAGGATCATCATGATTAATGTGATTGAAAGTTTATATAAAATCGGAAAAATTAAGTACATTTTCATACTCGTATATGATATTTTTCATGATTAAAGGCGACAACTACCTTAGGACATTTGTTTGGGTTCGATTTAGGAGTCTTATAAAAGAGATCAGTCAATATCGATAGGATACGTAACTTTCAGGTCATTAGTACCTTGTCTAGCTAGTTTGAATGGCACTCCCTAGTTTATTATTCTTGCTTCAAAGGAAATTATGAATATAATGATTACTAGATTAAATTGGCTAAATAGTCTGGATTACTTGTTTTGTGTTTCTATATTACAGTTGTATTTCTGAGTTCTTGGTTGCAATCATAATTGCATTATTATGGTCTCGTTTAAAAATGGGTTTGAGTTAAGGTTTCCTCAAATTATGTCATTGAGTATTTGACTATTTGAGTGTCCTTATTTAATAGTCTTTTCCCCTTGAGGATATCAACTTTATCTAACTACATTTGTTCTTTCAATGAATTCTCTTCCATATAGGGAAATTTTATTTACAATTATAGATTACTTCATTTTAATACGGAGTAGTATGAAATGCTATAACTATTGAGTTATTTCATTTTATAAAATCGACTTATTATTACAATATTACCTCTTCACCTAAGGGCATGTTCACATTTACAGAACTGAGCTGAACTGAAATTAGCTGAACTGAATTGAATAGAGCTGAAATGAATATTTTATGAGAGAAAGAAATTAGGAGCTGAACTGAATGAAGTTGAACTGAACTGAATAGAGCTGAAATGAATATTTTATGAGAGAAGGAAATTAGGAGCTGAACTAAGACTGATTGAAGCTGAACTAAACTGAATTGAAATTAAGGTGAAGTGGACAGACCTTAAATATGATGTTTAAATCTACATACGGAGTACTATTTTAGATGGAATTTGATATTTAATTTTGCTCGTAAATGTAAAACAATATGTATTCCGTAGTAGTAGTAATTACCATTTACCAATAATGAAGTTATTTATAAAAAAATAAAACTATTTATCGTTTGCCTGATCACAAATTTTTGTATGCGGCTGGCCACATGATGCGGCAGGAATTACTTGTAGGGTGAACTGGTTTTGTCGGGGGTTACTTGTATTTGGGGTTACTTGTATGGGTGTTACTGGTTTTGGTCAAGGGTTACTTGTAGGGTGTTACTGGTTTTGTCAGGTGTTACTGGTTTTGTCAGGTGTTACTTGTATTCTGGGTTACTTGTATGGATGTTACTGGTTTTGGTCAGGGGTTACTTGTAGGGTGTTACTGGTTTGGTATGGGTTTTGGTCTGGAGTTACTTGTAGAAGTTACTCAGAATACAAGTAACACTTACAAGTAACCCCACGATACAAGTAACCTCATAATACAAGTAAAACCCTATAAGTTACTCATACAAGTAACCTCAAAATACAAATAACTCATATAAGTAACCCTAGAATACAAGTAACACCCTACAAATAACCGATGTCGCACCATGTGGCTTGCCGCACTGAAAAACCTCCGTTGCCTGATATGGTTAAGCCTTGTCCAACAATGATTTGTTTTTTTTTTTTGAACAACAACAATGATTTGTTTGACCTCTCATTTGTTTTATAAAGAATTGGATTTAAAATTCAATACAAATATGTACTCTATAGTACGAGTACTCTTGGTAAAATCAATTTGTAAATAAAAAGTGAAATATGTGAAACTTAATAATGTAATAAATGATGACACAATAATAAGTGGTAGAATTATGAAGTATTGAAGTTACATTGAGTTTGACTTTGACTTTGACTTTGACTTGTAAGGCTTATAAATTACAGAGTACATCACAGCACCACATATCAGATATCCCCAAAGATTTAAATAATTATTTTTAAAAAATACATAATTTAAGAGGGATTTAACAAAATAATACTCCTAATTAAAAGTAAAATAGAAATTAAAAAAAAAAAAAGACAAAATCAACAATAGTAGACTCTTTGGTAAACAAGTGAGATATTGAAGGAATAAACAAGTGTTGCCTTATCTTCATCTTAGCCATTCCTATTCAACCCATTAATAATGAACTTTAATTGAAATAATAAACTATTATATATAACTTGAGAATTAAATGGAGTTCAAATGCAAGTGTTACTGTACAATTTTACCAATATTTATCAAGCCAGCATAATTAAGCTTTTTGAACCCATATTGGTTCCTATAATATATATTACCCTAATCTAAATCTATGTGTTATTATAGAAAAAAATAAAAATAAAAATAAAAATAAAAACTCAATATTGATCATTGACACTCATTGTCCGTGAAAAGTGAATACGAAGTTCTTATGGTATAACACAAGAAACTGAGCAATCTTTAATTATTTTTTGATAGGAGTATAATAAACTGTCATAGGCAAATATTAAAAAATAAGGGAAAAAGAAAAAGAAAAAGAAATCCAATGAGTACACAATTACAAATGGTAGAGAATATTAAAATGCCTAGTATTTATTAAAAAAATAATAATAAAAAATAAATAAATAAAAAACTGGGAATATTCTTAGTTAACAAGAAACAAACAATATATTACCAAAGATTGTAAGAATAATCTATTACTAGTAATCTAATCCGTATTATTTTTTCCAAAAAGAGCAAAATGGTTGACATTAATTGCAACTTTTGCAAGTATAGGCCAGATTATCAAGGGGTGATGTCTAGTGGCTGGCTATGTTTCTCCCAACTTCCCAACTTCTCTACCTTTAACGCCATTTATTTAAGTCAACCTTCCAAAAAAAAAAACTAAATAAAATAAATAAATAAATAATTGGCTTAGGGTTTGTTAATGTTTACTGAACTGAAATGATTAGAATTGAACTGAACTGAATTAAACTGAGCTGAGCTGAGCTGAATAGAGCTGAAATGAATTTTTTACGAGAAAAGAAAATTAGAAGTTGAACTGAACTGAATTGAACTGAAATTAAGCTGAAGTAAAAAAAACCCTTAGGCTAAGCCCTTTTCTTTTAGGACACGGGAGATATGGCTAAAGTTTGAAAATTATAATATTGTCTAAACTCATACAATTACCAATAATATTTAATTTTGAAAAAAAAAAAAAAGATTCTAACTAATTTAAATTTCCATCAATTGAATTGGTCCATAACATAATCTATTTATAAAAATAAAATAAAAAATCATCTACCAACAACAATTAATTATACTACCCCTTAATTCCACATAGAATCTGCTTTTGTCTTTAAAAGAAGGAAATATATTCCAAAACACAAGAAGATAATGAGGAGCACAAATCATACTTTTCCACCTTAATTAATTATTACTCACTATTAGACACAATCTCCCATTTAATATTTATATATAAACTCAAAGTTTGAGCTTTCTTTCTCTCCTCTATTCCCTGAAAACCATAATTTTTTCTAAAATAACATCCCTAAACACTTCCTAGAAAAACATATAGCTATTAAACTTTGTTTAAATTTTTATTCTTAGTTTCTTACTTAGAAAAAATGGAAATGGTGTATTACCAAGTAGGAAGGTCTTCATACCAAGATTTACTCAAGGAGCTAGAAGCTGATATACAACATGCTAATGCCCTGTAAGTACATGATCTTATGCTTTAAGCCTTCGCCCCGTTGGTGCCTAGTTGTCAACGGGGCGAAGGCTTACCTAATTCTGTATTATCCGTTACTTAATACTTATGTATAGATTATGTCCCAAAAAAAAAAAAAAAAAAATTTATATAATCTTAGAAAAGGTAACAAAAATATTGATTTATGAAATGTTATGTTAAAATTAATTTGTTTTTATAAATTATTGTTTACAGGGTAGCTGCAATTCCAAAACCAAAAAAAGGTGTTTGTCTTCATATGAAATTGGAGTACAATCAATTGTCACCTTTGCTTTATCTTTTGCTCCAATGGCTTGATAGTTCTTGTTCCTGCTTTTTTCCTCTTTACTTCAATCTATTTAACATTCTAATATATGAGGTTGGTCTTTCTTCTTAACCTTTTGTTAAAAAAATTATGTTTTATGTTTGTTCGCGATTATTTTATCTTTTGATGTTTTGTTATTACATTCGTTAATTTTAAACTCGCTATTCTACGATACATGTAAGACTATTGGGTTTGTTAGGTCTGTGAAACGCGAGTATAGGAAGTAAAATTTCCTAGAAAATGGATTTTTGGTGTTCTTTGCCTTGTTTAAGCCATACTCATACATAAGTAAACGTCCCCAAATATGCTATCTTGGACTCTTGGTTGTAAAAATAGAGAATCGAATTCATAACTACATACATGTATTAATTTGGGGATGTCAACATGAAAGATTGTTTCCCAAGCAAACAAATTTTTAATTAAGCTAGTTTAATTAATCAAATTCGTTGAATTTTTCAATATAGGTTTATCCAGATGGAAGAACCAATATATCCACCCAAGGAAGCAAGGCAACAGTTACAGAATTCTATGGTATGTACATTAATTAAATAACAAGATCATTAAATAATTACGGAGTACATAATACTATAGTCATCCTATCGCAAGAATGGATGTATTTAACTAAAGCAAAGCCCCAATACATGGAAAAAAACTTGATTTTAAAAGTGTTCCAAAGATTTGGTCGTTTTTGCTCACATTTGAGATGGATATATCATCGCTCATTAATATTATTATTGTATAATGCTAACTTGCTTTAATCAATGTGAAAATTGGCAGCTATCATACTTCCTTCCCTAACAAGGCTTCACAATGATTTGGTGGAGCGCGAAAGTAGAATGAATTTGACCAAGAAAAGTGGTGGCAAGGAGAATTTATTAGGGCATGGTAATGGTAGGCTTCAAAAAGTGATTGATCAAGAAAGAGAGGATGAATGTGGGATATGTTTGGTGCCGACTACTAAAATGGTCTTGCCCGGCTGCTGTCATGCAATGTGCATTAACTGTTACCGCAACTGGTAAAACATTTTTTTTTTTTTTTTTTTTTACCGCCCAACACTGTCAAAAGTTTTACGAGGTTGCACCCAAGATTAACAAGTCGAAAAACTAAATAAAATAGCTTTCGTTCTTGAGTGTGACACTGTGACCCTGCAACTTACATCCATCATAACGTTTTTAAGGTTTCACATTTGATGTTTATTGACACTCAAGTTTCGTTCTTTGCACAAGAACTCCTTAAAATTGAACTAATTTATCCTGAAACTTATTTTTAAAGGCTATAAGAATGTCTTGACTCTTGAGTAGGGTATGAGTCAAATAACCGCGCTTTTTTTTTGTTTGTACAGTATATATTTCTTTTTAAAGACAAATGGATAGCTGACTTTTTCTTTGTTCAAAAACTGTAGGAATACAAAGTCTGCATCATGCCCCTTCTGCAGAGGAGGATTAAAAAGAGTAAAGTCAGAGGATTTATGGGTTCTGACAAGTGAATCTGAAGTAATAGATGCAGAGGCAGTATCAATAGAGGAACTGTCAAGATTTTACCTCTATATTCAAAGTTTGCCAAAGGATAAAACAGAAGCTCCTTTCTGGGTTTACTATAATTACTTAACATAATCCATGTATTTAAGAAGAATTTAGTCATATAACTGAGATTAGTTTCAAGCTTTCTGTACTTCTGCCAAAAGGGTTGATAAATCAGTCAGAAAATTGTACAGAATAAGGTAAAATTATTCATCTGAAATCACCAGAAAAAGCCAGATGTAAATTATGTACAGTAAAAAAAACATATCCAAATTTTCTTCTTTCTGTCTCACTTAAAAGGCAAAAAGAATGAAAAATTAATCTTCCAACATGTAATTAAAATCTCAGCCTAGCAATTGCCAAGGTATACATACAGAGTATTAGTATAATGTAAAGCTCTCTTTAATCTTTTATCCCCTGCCCTTGTTCTTTGTAAATTATGTTTTGCTGGCAAGAAAATATTCAGGATATCTGTTGCTTAGTGTGGTTCAGGTTCCCTGAATATTCTTTTGTGTTGGATAACTAGAGAGCTGCAACAATTACCCCCGAACACGGATCATGTGTTCGTGTCTTTAGCTATAGAAGTTACTGCAATGCATATCAGTATATCACAATATTGTTAATCTGTCCAAAATTAAAATTGATACAGGAGAATGGCAAAGATACAAGGAGTTGAAAAATGGGTTGGTAGGCCCTAACCTAATTTCGAAGAAAACACTGCTTATTTCAAACTTGCCAATTTAATATTTAAATAACTAATATCTTACATTATATTACAGAAAAAAGAAAAAATGAGGCAAATCTAACAATATCTCACATGACTTTATTTTTTTTCTTAGTTATAAAGCATCACCCCTAATCAAAATGAAACATATGAATAGTGGAACAATTATAGTGTGGAGGGGGAAAAAAAAGGATATACAAAATTTGGGAGTGACAATTGGTACAAGTCAACTTAAGTTTTGGATGTACATCTTTGAAAAGAGATACTTTGCTTCAAATACCAACAATTACAACAAGGAAGCTCCTCCAAAACAGGGAGGTGAAAGAGCATATACATGAAATTACTCATCATAGCATGGCCAAACTAGGTGAATAACTGAATTTGGCTGATTTCAAGCTTTAAAGAGCATTCAGATTAAGATTAGAAATGATAAACTTAGATGTTATTTACGGCATAACAGATTAACAGGACATATTGCAACCCATTGCTTACATAATGCAGCATGCATTAATATAATTCAACTCATATTACTAGCAAATTTATGAAGCTCTTATGATCACAGAGATCTTGAAGAATCACAGCACCTCTATTGCTGACTTGCTCCAGCTCCTCCTTTCTGAAAATGCCAGTGCAAACTCCTATTGCCAAAGCTCCCTCACATTCAGCTGCTATGATATCGTTTGGCTGCGAAAGAATATCCAAATAATTCAGAACACTAGATCATCTTTTTGAAAAAAAAAAAAAAAAAAGGTTCTGCAGCCTGCAGGTAATCACAGGAGCATAGGAAGCAACTTATCTAATAAGCAAAGTTATAGGGAGTAGATTCTCCACATACTGTGTCTCCAACATGCAGTCGGGAATCAAATTTCCCAGGATATAGATTTTCAGCCCTTTCTGCTGCAATTTTGATGAGATGACCTCGATCCATGTGATCGCTCCCAAATCTGAAAAATGAACTATCATCAATTATGGAAAACCTAACAAAATAGTTATGGTTGACATGTCTTTTTGACTAACCCTCCAAAATGCGGAACACTAAAATACTTCTTGATACCCAAGGCATCCAATTTCATCCATGCAGTCTCTTCCAAGTTACCTGTAACCTGATAGCAGGAGTAACGAGACATAAAGGTTAAAGCAAACTTCAGAACCTTGTAGGACAGAATCAGACAAGTCGAATGCAATCAAAGCTACTCATAGTTTAAGCTGAACACAGTCAGACAACTACCAAATTAAAGCATCAGGAGTAAATATATCAGCACCCACAGGCCACAGCCTTGCCAATTAGCAGGTTAATTTTCTTGATACCCATAAATTATGATATCTATCAAAAAGACCATGCTTAAATTTGAATAATTATTTTCATTTATAATGATATTTGTATCAACGCAGGAGATAGGAGAGATATCCTATTCCTAATAACGAGAGGTCACAATAATGAGTGAATAGGTTAAAATTTTGTGGAGCACAAGACTCACAACAAAGTAAAACAGCAGATAAAAGAAATTGTTAAATATACCAAGGAGAAAATGTCTATATGAACTCACCAAACCAATGATTACATTATTCGTTGATGACAAGGTTTGAAGAAGAGATTCAACACCAGGAAGCAATTCAAGGCCCTATCCTAGGTCTTCAGCGTGAGCCTTTTCATATTCAGTCATCTTTGACATCAAAATCGGGAGCTTTTCAGTAGCAACCTTGATACAACAAGAAGAAAATTAATTAAGATATTGTCAAAACGGATGATCAGAAAAATATCAGTAAATGGTGTAATGAATGTCACCGAATTGAAAGAAAGGTGTGGCGTCAGATCTTCAAAGTAGTATAGTTCGAGAGGAGTTAATATATTTCCTCATTCTAGTGGAAGTTACTAGATGGGCCAGTTATACAGTGGTATATATATAGGAGCATGAGTATTTTATGTTATCAATCAATACGTAGGCTCATTTTAGGTTGCTGAGATTTAGTTGGTAGTCGGTTAGCCATGGTACTAGTTTATCAGATCATGGATAGTGTTCATAGTTATTAGCTTTAGTTAGTTGTTTGGTTCTTGACATATATCCTACAATTTAATTTGTTTATTTATGGAATGAAGTAATCAAGTAATAAGCATTTTCTTTGTTTATAGTCCATCTCTTTGTCTTGCTTATAACTTACTCCATATAGCACAACATGATATCAATTAAGGACTTATCAACCTAAACCTTTGATGAGTTGATGACTTGTTTAAATTTAAGTGAACAGGAACTCTATGTTTAATAAAACAAACTGGCGTTGAAGACCTACAAGGCTATACCTCTTCTTTGCATCAATTGAGAATGAAACATAAATTTGAAGCACACTTATCTGGCCTAGTTCCAAAGTAGGAATACTAGTAACTAAAGCCAAAGCGAGGAAACCATATAGGTAGAATGCAACGGAAAATTCAGAGATGTCTTCCAGACCAAAGTGCGGAAAATTTAATACAGCAGACGTTACAAAAAAAATTGCATTGCAATAATAAAATGATAGTAAAACAACAAAAATGCAGTAATACCAGAAAGCTACCAACCTCAGATGATATACCGTAGTGGACAAGCGTGTTCACAAGGATTGCAGGATCAGTCGAACCATGAGGCTGGAAAAAAAACATTAGGATTATATCAATAAAACAATGATTTAGCTTCCATTAATTCTAAAAAATGGGGGGAAGGAAAGTAATTAACAAAACTTGAAGCAGTAAGCATACAGTAGCAATATCCACCAGCTACAACATTCATTGTTCAAGTTCTTGCATTCAACCATTTTTTTAATCAAAGTAAACAGGCATGAAGATGAACACTAACATGATTTAGTACAATCAAAACCCAGAAATTTGTAAGTGAAACATCATGTTGCATCATACTGCTGCCCTGCCCAATGCCTCTAATTGGCACTTGCCTAGAAGCCTAGGGCAGGGCAAATGGGCAAGGGCCAAGGAGTCAAATATACACTAAACCTGTAATAAATTTTTTTTTATCTAACAGGTTATCAACTACTCTGTTTTTCACAGCAGAGAGTTACCAACAGAAGTTACATCACCATTTGCAGTCCATCATATCCACAGCTATGACATTTGTGTTTCAGCTCTTTTACAGGCTTACATTAAAATGGATGTGACATATTACAGGAATGATCAAATGGGAAAATAATCACGGACATACATGGTTGATTAGTCGTTCAGCTATTGATAATTTCTGACCAAACTTTGAGATGCTAACAGCATCATGTATCAGTTAATGAATATCACAGCAAACCTAACACATTCCATGTTAAGGAAAACCACCCAATACTAGGAAATTCTGCTCAACTTTCATCTTAATCTATATAACTCATTATTATTAATCAGCAAAACCCAAACTAATTAAGACAAAAATAAGGTGAGGCCAATTACCAATGATAATAACCTTAATCATACAGAAGTAAAAACGACCATAAAGTGGACATTTAATCATTTATAATATGCAATATGAACAAAATGCTTGAAGAATGAGATAATGAATGAAGCACCTGAATAACGTCGATAGTACCATGAATTCCAAAGACTTGCAGGATAGCATAGGAGAAAGCTTGATAGAAATGGTTAGAGTTGGTCCCATCACTTTGAATTAAGGTTCCATCAATGTCAAATGTAACCAGTATTTTCTTAATTTCCTTTTTCCCTTGTTCCATCTCTATTTCGTCTGAGTGTTTGTTGGTTCTGACAAGGTAGTTTGTAGAGAAAGATGCAGACAGAGTTCAAAAGACAAGGTTCTACCTTGTTTAAATGTTCTAAGTCACAGGGAATATTCGGCATATTTCATACACCCATTTATATAAATTATGAATACTTTATAGACTTCCGGACTTCTATCAAAAGGAATGAATAAGCATAGCAAAACAGTACATAGAATATCAAATAGTAGTTGACCAGTCAGAAGTCAATGAACTTCAATATTTTATATTCCTTTTGAAAATGGCAAATGGAAAACTTTTTTCCTAACTTTAAATTACACCAAAAACTGTGAATGATTGCTACTTTTAACTACTCCATATATGGCATCAGCAAAATGCTCCCACTACTCAATTATTATACCCCATATCTTTGTCATTAGCCATTATTATAGTTTCAAAATGTAAAGGGTCATTCAATTGCAAGCAATAATATATTCAATGATTTCAATTAATAAACGAGAGAACCATCCAGGAAAAAAAGACAAAAAAATAAGGAAGATCAAGTGACGTGATTGCTGAGTAGAACTAATTTCATCAGCAGCCTGATGTAGAAAGGCTTTATGTAGTACAAACATAGTGCACAAAAAGGCTTCATAACGTTCATGTAGTACAGACAGTGCACAAAAAGGTTTCCACAGTTCCACCAATGTTATAGCTTGGGGGCCTCTGTCATAATCAATATAACTGGATTTTAAAGTGTTCATTTCAAGACCATAAAAAGTTCAGATCTTCTCAGTCATCAGGCCTCATTGTTAATCGTCTCTTTCTTTTAACTCTTTAAGGATAGTGGACATTTATACCCTAAAAATATTTGTCTACATATTTTCCCTCATTAATCCTACCCGAACATGGCTAGCTATGGCGCGCGCGGCCGCACATCAACCACCCTAGTATTAATAAAACTATAAAAGCTTCACCATTTTTTTACCTCGTAAGACATAACCTTAATTCAGCTAATATACATCTTTCTGTTATTTTGTGGGAAGGGTGGAGGGGAGGTGCAGGAGCAAATAAGGGAGCGTTTGAAAGTACTATATTAGTCACTGGAAAAGCTAAGAAATTAAATGTCTGACCACCTCGTCTCATTACCCCAAACTTTGTGAACAGTCCTGCTAAAGATTGTCAAAATATTTGAAATGGCAGTCAATGTAAGATTATTGCATGACATAAATTTTAACTCCACTCAAGCATATCAATAGTTTAAGAACAACAATACTTATTGTAATCATCTGAAATACCAGCATACAAAGAGAGCCAAATTCAAAGACCCAGCAAATTTAAGAAGCTCTCACAATCAGAAAGATTTTTGAGAACGACGGCTCCTTCAGTGCTAGCTTGATCCAGCTCCTCCTTCCCAAAGATGCCAGTGCAAACACCAATTGCCAAAGCTCCCCCAAATTCAGCTGCTCGAATATCATTTGGCTGCATAAGAAGCAGACATGTCAACCAGCAAATTAGAGCCATGGTCTATTTTATCTTACTCCCATTTATTATTACAGCATGGTAGTGTTTGAAGCAATGAAGCAAAAATTAAGCAAATATCTAGACAATCAAAACTTTTTTTGAAGGTAATAGATTTTACTAGTTTACATACTGCATCTCCAACATGCACTCGCAAATCAAATTTCCCCGGAAAAAGCTTTTCAGCCCTTTCTGCTGCAATTTTGACTAGGTGACCTCGGTCAATGTGATCACTCCCAAACCTGAGATCTAGTAATAATCAGCCAGGGATAATGCAGAAAAAGATCAAGTTATACAAATGATTAGGCAACCAACCCTCCAATATGTGGAACACTAAAATATTTCTCGATGCCCAAGCCTTCCATCTTCATCCATGCATTCTCTTCCAAGTTGCCAGTAACCTAGAGCATAAAGAGGGTATTAAGACAAAAGCACAAAAAATTTCTGCCGCAACAGTGATCAGATTCGGATAACAGAGGTCATTTATTGCAATTTTAATCTCTTCAATTTAAGCATGTGTTGTAGCCAGATAACATTGTACCTTCAGACCAAAATAAATCTAGAAACTTATAGGTTGCCTGGAAATAGACTGAACTTAGAATTTCCAATTGTTCCTATTTATCCCAACAAACTAACACCCGAGGCATAGCGGCTAAACCTTTTTAGCAGACTGCACCTATCCAAAGAATACCAGCTTGAACCAAAGTCGATATATAGTTTAGAGAAAAGATGTCGATCACCATGAATTCTAAAGTAGCTTGACAAGTGAACCACCTACGACCACACAAAGCATCAGTACCCAGACCCCCCACCCTACCCCACTGCTCTATGGAAGTTTTCTCTTTTAGTTCCCACTACTTTATGTACACATGCAAATGGAAATATAGAACGCCTGATGCATTATATTAAAGTCAAACTCAAAACTAAAACTCCTATTTGAGTATTCTTGCAGAAATAACAAGAGAAGTCCTCAGGGTGAATAATAATTAAAATAAATAAAAGGAAAATTTGTAATTATTAAGTCAACCTTTTGGCCGTTCGCTTTTATTACGTCAACCTTTTGATTATTTTTAAACACTTCAACCTTGTACTACTATAATTTTTATTACGTAAAATAGAAAAATGACCTGCAAAAACGGGTAAATTGCTTATGTGGAGTATTAGATGGAGGTAAAAATGCTGATGTAATTTTCCAAAAATGAAAATTATGTAAATAATAAGTCAACCTTTTGATTCTTTGCTTTTATTACGTCAACCTTTTAATTATTTTTTTTATACGTTAACCTTGTAACATCATTTTTTTTTTACATTTGAATTTTTTTGAATTATTATTATTATTATTATTATTATTATTATTATTATTTATACAATGATCGCATTTGTATACCTGAACCTAACGAAGAATAATTATGAGTCTTAATGTGGCACGTATGTGCCTTCTTCAATCCTACCTTGGACTTTAATTTTTTTTCATTCAATCTCTTGCTAAACTTCATTGTATATAATATATTAAAAATAATCTAAAACTATGATTTCTCACAAAGCAAGGGTCATGATTATTCACAAACTCATAATGATTATTCACTAACCTTAAATTTTGCCCAATTATGCTCGAATAAACGTCTTCTACGGCATGCACAACCTGCAGTATGGAGTGCGTTGTAATGTAGTTTAAAGATAAAAGATGAATATAAGGTGATTAAAGGAATAAAGGCAAATTAAAGGAAGAATTGAATAGTATTGTGTTTAATGGAGTAGTAGTATGATGATGAAAGGAAGATGGTGAAAAGGAGGATCGTGAGTTTGGAAACTTGTAGTATAATAGTACTAGGTCTTTTTTTTCAGTAAAATTGGAGTATAGTCTTGATGAGTTGGCATCATTAAATGATAAATTTTTTTTAAGGGTTAAATTGCCAAGTCAGATTTTCCATCCTATAAGTTCAAACAATATTAAGGGTTTAACAGGTAACCAGTAAATAAACGTAATATAAGTTAACAGTAGTACAAGGTTGACGTGTTTAAAAATAATCAAAAGTTTAACGTAATAAAAGCGGACGGCCAGAAGGTTGACTTAATAATTACAAATTTTCCTAAATAAAAAGGTACTTTGCAAAAAAAGAATTGTACAAAAAGTTTCAAAGACCACAACTAATATTTTCAGAGCAGGTGGTTGACAACCAAATGAGAGTTATGCTGAATTGTGTAGGGTATGAAGCAAGAAACATGCATCTATGCACACTTACCAGTCCAATGACTATAGCATCTCTTGATGACAAAGTTTGAAGGAGAGATTCAACACCAGGAAGCACTTCAAGACCTTCTCCAATGTCTTTAGCATGACCCTTGGCAAACTCAATCATCTTTGACTTTAAATCCGAGAGCTTTTCAGTAGCAACCTTTATAAGCAACGAAAACAGAATCATAACTCAGATGTACATGTGGATTAGTGCGCAAATATAAACAAGCAGTTAGCAGCTAAAATTACATAGCTAAAGCAGAGCTAAACCATTTGGGTATCAGGACAAAAGAATTAGTCTATGCAATCATATACTACAGTACTATATAGCACTTTGGTCATCGACTTGTAGCTTAATTTCTTAGATGTTGAGCCAGTAATAGCAGCAGCAACATCTCCCTCATAGACAAAAGCGCTGTGACAGTTGGGCCTTTACTTATAATATATTAGCTAGGGGACCATGTTAAATGCCTCACCTCATCTTAACTTATACTGTATATAACTACTTCGAGGAGATAATTGCCTTCACATAAAAGAGTGCAATGATTAGTTACCTGCCTGGCGATAAAAATCATGTGATACGTATCAAACTCCTATTGGCTATTGCAATGGTACTTTTCTATTATTACCCTCGCATAAAAGAGTGCAATAGAGACCAGAAACAAGTCCTTTCTTAGTGACTATGAATATCAATTACGGTAGTTTTCTATCATAAACAAAGCAAGTAATAAGTTCCAAAAAGGCATGACATTGAGAGTAAAAAATGCAGCAAAATTCCAAATGGCTACCAATTACTAACCTTAGATGGTATCCCATAATGGATAAGCGTGTTCACAAGGATTGCAGGATCAGTCGAACCATGATGCTGCACAAGAATATTAGTGCTCTATTATTAGCCAAAAGACTTAAGCTTGTGTACTCATAGTAATAATTGCAGTTTAATCAACTTGAAGTAGAAAGTAGCAACCAAATAGTAGCCAAATTTCATAATTTAGAACTTGAAGTTGCTATTTACATATCTCTTAATGGAAAAGAACAAGCACCAAATGAAACTTCCATAATTTCGCCATCAATTTCATTGCCATATATTACGTGTATCTAAATTAGACCTCCAATCACGAAGAAGCTACTATTATATAGATTTAGAAAAAGATTAGCAAACAAATGCCAACCCTTTTACTCCGTTTAAATTTGACACAAAAAGGCCAAAAACAAACAATCAAAAATTGATAAACATGATCAATGAAATATTCTCAATTCCTACCCCAATTTTAGGACTTTGAGGTTTTCCTGTTTCCAAAACCCCAAGTTTCCAAGCTAATGAAGCCTAGAAATGACTGGGACTTGAGACTTTCCCGATTTCGGAACGTTTTAGATTCTGAAACCCGAGTTATTTCCATGTACAGAAGTTTTTGATAGATAAACTGGATCATATAGACTGTAAACTACACATAATATTCCTTAATCACGAATTAACATACCCCATTTCAAGAAATATATTGAAAACAACCAATTCAATAGTAAAATCAAAAACCCATCAACATGAATAATACCCTTAATCAAATTGGGCACAAATTATATGAAGAACACACCCAAATTAGAACAAAGTAACAAAATTTGAAAGTGGGTATCTAAGATTAAAACCCAAAAAAGGTTAAATTAGATTATGAATTGATAAACCTGAATGACATCGATAGTACCATCAATTCCAAAGACTTGGAGCAAAGCATGGGAGAAAGCTTGACGATGAAGGTGGTTGGAAGTTGGGCCAGTGCTTCGAATTAAGGTTCCATCGATGTCAAATGTTATCAGCACTCTCTTAGTTTCCTTCTTCCCATGTTCCATTGTTGTCTTCTTGATCTTTGTAATCTGTTGTAACTTCACTGTGCTTTTTGCTCAGTAACTTACTGTTCTTGCAATTTAAAGGAGATGTTTTTTTTTTTTCAATTAATTAATAAAAAGTCATTCGGCATCTATAAATGAAATCTAAATTAACAAATACATAAAATTGAATCAAATTAGATTTTCCTTCATCAGAGTTACGGTCGTTGAAAAGATCTTGCACATCGCTGAAATATTCAGCCTTTTCGAAGAGGCGGTCTAACGATTTGTTGTAGCCGTAAGAATGATTCTCATCTTATTCGCCTGAACACATTTGAAAATTTGACAACCGGTGCGATCCCGAACAAATTTTTACCAAAGAACTGATAATAGGGCAAAAGATGATTACTTTTTTGATGAACCCTAACACAAACAAACTCTAAACAAAAACAAACAACTAAACTAATGAAAACTAACGACTCCACCATAGGGAGACGAACGAATATCTACACTACTTGTGTAGATTTATTAAAATTCAAATATATATTTTTTTTTTTACTTTAATACCTTGTTGGGTGTTAAAACTCAAAAATGTTTTTTTTCAAAAAATTACCATAAAAAAAGTCTTTTTTTTCTTAAAAATGAAAAACATGTATAGTTTGATGTAAGTGAGGTTACATTCAAATGAATGAATGATTTGGTAGGGTTATTTATTACGCCATATCATTAATAGAGAGTGTGTGATGCATCATACGATTTATATCAAAAAAAATAGATGGACAAAATAGCATCTGATTTGTCATGATTCACGATCAACCACTGCTAGAGAGAAGCTAATCGGGCTAGCTAACTATGGAGTGGATGCGGAGCAAAGTGTTTTTGGAGGTGGTTCTAAAGGACCTTTGTACTAGTGTAGCTTAGGCTAGATCGGTTCTGAAAGTTTTGAAAGATAAAGACTATTCTCGGTTAGGATGTTTAGTAATTAATAGTTCCTCTTCTTTTTGTTTATTTTTGTTTCCTTTCCTTTTCAATTTAATAGTTTTTTAATAATTGAAAATAACAAGTTATAATAACTATTTTGCTTGCTTAAATGTGGTATGCTCTATTGACACATGTTTTGCTCTCTCAGAAGCTCAAAAGAACAAGGCATAAGTAGACTTAAAATAAGGTCAATGAGTAGAGGTGGGCAATGTGTCATACCGGGCCACCGCGGGGCGTGCCTAGTGGTGGCTCATGCCGGGCCATGTCGTGCCTGCAACTTGATGGGCCGTGCCGGGTCACCATTTGGCACACCCCAGCCCACGACACACCCCACATGCCTGGCATGCCGTGCCAGGCCGCCCAGAATTTTTAATTTTTTTATTAAATCAATACATACATATATATATATATATATTTGAACAACTTTTAAAATGTGTATATTTACATAATTTTATTAATTTATATTTACGTTTTTGTATTTTATGTTATTATTGTTGTTTTTATTATCCTTACTTTTATTATTATATTTCTTTTACTTCTTATTATAGCTGTTTATAGTTGTTGGAAGCATCGAAATATAGCCGTTTGCACGGGTCATGGCGTGCCGCGTGCCGTGCTAACGGGCCAAATTATCTTACCGCCCACCGTGTCGTGCTGATGGGCCAAATTATCGTGTTGCCCATAGTGCCATGCTCGTGCCGATTTTTCAAAATTGTGTTCACGCCTTCACGACATGGCCCACGGCCCACTTCTCGGTTATCGTGTAATTCGTGTCGTGTCGTGCCACTGGCGAGCTTGTGCTGGGTCGTGCCGTGCTCGTGCCGCCCGTGGGCCAACACGGCCCATGCCCACTTCTACTAATGAGCGAAAAATGGAAGATGAGTAAGTAATGCCTTGAGAATTTTCTTCTATGTGGTTAGATCTTGGATGTTCATTTTATTGGTGTATAACTTGTTAAATGGTTCTCCATTCTTTCTACTCCGGACTATTTTAGGCCTACAATCCTCTCAACTAATATTACAAAACGAGGTGGCTAAGGCCCTTGGAGCAAGACATGCTCTATCCATTGCTATTTATGTGGTCCCCATGATGTTGTATTGGAAACGGATAATAGCAAGTTGTTTCTGAAGGAGTTATGTCTTCGTCGTGTGCAATTACTAGATATATAAATGGATCAAATTATGGAGATAATTAAGTTCGTACATTTGGGTCGTCGTTTTACCATAGCTAGAGGTACTAACGATCTTTGGACTAGTAAAATAGGCCAAAGCCCAATTGGACGGATCCTATAAGGTCACACAAAGGGACTAGATCGAGCATTAGAGGACGAGGCCCATCATGGGCCTCATCACTCTAGGTGGCCGGCCATATGGAGTGGACAAGGAAGTTTTGGGCTTCATGCCCTAGTCCAATTATAATGAGATTATAAATAGACTAGGTGCCTAGGTTTGCAGTAAGGAGGGAATTAACTGATCAGTGTGATCAAACCCTAATTAGCAAACACGAAACCCAACCCTCTCAAAGTCCTCTCTCTCACACGGCTCTCTCCTCCTAGGCGCCGGTGGTGTCTCGTGGTGGTGGTGGTTCGTGCGGTGGTCGGTTGTCCATAAAGGTGGTGATCGCGGTTTTCCTCAATCACTCGACCAATCCAGTATTGGTGGACGGCTCGTTCGAATCTCGTGGACTAAGTAGAGGAGCAACGCTTGGGGCTCTATTCTCTCCCTGATTTGCCTGTCGAATAGATTCGTGGAATTCACGCGTCAAAGGTATGATTATGTGTCTTGTGTGTTATGCATGTGATTCTTGGGATTGGTACTTGATTGAATATGATTCATGTTTTTCCGTTGCGTAGTACCTATAAACTCCTACAGTGGTATCGGTTAGCCTCTTGCATGAACGTGCTTGATCATAATAATACAATTATTTGATGTCCACGTTAATTTTATAATCAATTAAGAGGGAGAAATTAATTTAATTACGGTTCAATTATTATATTTAATGTGATTAAACTTTTGGAATCGATTAAATGTGATTATTTATGCTCAAAATAGCCATGAAGAGACCGAATTTTAGCCCTAATTGTTCGAAATTTTCGAACCCCCTAACCCTAAATTCCGAATTTTTCGAAAATCCTAGCCCTAAAATATGATTTTTGTGCTTGATTTTGATTTAATTTGATTTATTTTATGATTCATAATTTTAATCGGATTGATTTATGCATAAAAGTGTTTTGTGTATGATCATCAATTTAATTTTAAAAGTTAGAATTAAATTGAGATTAATTTTATGAAGAACCCTAATTTTAAAATTGAATATGATTTAATTTTAATCTTATGGACTGATTTAATTTAATTGTGATAAGCATTATTTTAATTAAATTAAAACACAAAAAAAAGGGTTTTAAGTGGTCGGCAACCGCGGCTGGGTGGCGTAGCCACGGCGGCTGCCGACCAGGTGGCAGTCTGAGAGGGAGGGAGGGCAGGCGGTCTGGGGTGGCTGTGGGCAGCAGCGTGCAAGCGTTGCACAGCTGCTGCCACGACTGCCAAATCAGCTGCCCGCTGCTGCCTTGCGGCAGTGGCTGCTGTTAAGGCAGCCAGCCACCGTGGCTAGCTTCGGCTAGCCAACCACGGTGGCCGGCGGTGGTGGCTTGCTGTTTTCAAAAAAAAAAATTATCTTATTTTAAAATTATTTCAAGATAATTGTGAATTATTTTGAGATAAAATCAGTTTTATTTTGGATAAGATAGAATATTTTGAAAATATGATTTTTTATTTTTAAAAGATAAAGTTGGTTTTATTTGGATAAAATCTTTTATTTTAGGATAAAATCAAATATTCAAAAGTTGTTATATTTGATATTATCCATATTTAAAGTTGTTAAATTGGTAATTATCCTAATTAAAGTGGTTAATTTTGGATAAGATTGACTAGGATATTCTGAGCATATTCCAAAAGGATAATAATTCATTTAAATAATGTGATTATCCCATAATTAGATTAGGATATAATTGATTTTAAAATTATTTGATTGGCTAGTAATTAAGATAGAATCTCCTAAATTTGTTAGGATAATCATGAAAGATTAAATATGATTTATCTTTCTAGATTAAAATATGATTTGATTCTATCTCATGACTAAATTAAATATATGATATTTTATTAACGGTCATGAATAATATATGATATTATCTAATTATGATTAAAATATGACTAAATGCGTTGACTTTATTATGAACATTCGATGTTGTAGTTTAGACAAGCATGTTGAGTGATTTATTATATGACACTTTTATAATATATGATATTATGTTGCTATATATAGACTAGTATGGCCCATAGATTCTTAAATACGATCTGCGCATCGTGATGTCTTTTTGTAATCTAAATACGGTATGCGTACCGTTAAGTATTTTTGTAACTTTTATTTAAAGTTAATAGAATAGTTATTTAAATAGTGTTAGTCCAAAGAAGCCCATGAAGTAAAGGCCCAAAGGAGCAAGGTGGATGGAGATCCATGATGATTCAAGTGGGAGCTTTTTCATTTCTAGTTTTCTTAGGACTAAGGGGTCATACTATGTCATGATTTATTGCATTAGTAGATTATGCATGTTAGATTTTATTTATGTTGATTGATGATGCGCTAGAGTTCACTAAATAATCACAACATAATAAATCTAGGTCCCAGTAATATTGAGACAGCTTTTCCAATTAAAAACCCGATGAAACCTTTGATATTTTATGATGGGTCATGCCTCAGCTGGGTGTCATATTATATCTTAGGGGAGTGGGGGTAAATCACGTTTTACACTTTTAATTGGTTATACTCAACAAGGTTACCTAAAGAGTTTAGAACCTTGAAGCTAAGGGTAATAATTAAGCATGTGATGATTAATTATTCAACCAAGAGTTACAAGAGTTGTAATCAGTAAAGAGTTTACTCACCTTGAAAATGTAATGGTTGATGGTAGGGCCTCAGTCCGGTCAATTATTGCACAAATAAAGGATCTTGGAATCACTTAAAATTCAATTGGGATCAATTAATTATTGAATAAAGTGTTTTAAAGTTACCAAATGAATGCGTTTATGGTACTTTAATTTAAAATTAAACATAATTATTAAACTTTGCCTTATTTTGACATAGATGGGTAGCCGTAACCACAATGACAACAACG